TAAATGGGTACAAATAGCATTTTTGGAGGGGAAATTATATTTGTACCCCCCACCATTGTGAGGGGCCGGTGAGAGGAGTTGTCAACCTCCAGTAATTGTAGCAATGCTCGGAAAAATGTTGCATGTGATGGATGAGCTTGACAACTGTTGGCCCCATGTCAATCCTGGGTGGATCATGTGAAGACTGATATTTTCAATTAAAATATTTAGCAGCCACACTTCTGGAGCATTCCAAGTATTTTGTTCACACAAACCTATAAAAGCAAGCTCGGCCCGTGTTTGATAGTTGTTATTTTGAAAAAACGAAGTCTTGATTATTGATTTTTAAAAAAATTAGTCAGAGTTAAACGTATATTGCACGTTACTTTGAAATAGTTTATAAATATTGTAAATGTAATATTTGATACCAATTTGTTGAAAGGATTTGATAAATCTCAAACGAATTAAAGAAAATAAAATTTAGAATAGAAATTTAAGAGAATAAAATTGTACTCTCAAAACTTAACTTTTATAAATCAAATTTTAAAATTAATTACTAACACAGAAGTTAAACACCCATTGAAATTCCTAAGTACGTGAATAGAAAAAAAAATTCATCTATAATAACTCTAAATTCATGTAGATCAAGATTCATTAAGTTATGATTGAATGAGTCTAGATTAATGTGAATGTTAATTAATTAAGAATTAATAAAACGAAATTCATACATGAAAATAATTTTGTAGTATTTATTACATATTGAAAAAGAAAAATAAAGTATTATTGAAATAATTAAATTGTAGTATGGTTAAAATTGTCCAAAAAATGATTCTCACTTGATTTGATATCTAATAGACTATAAATTTGTGGTTAAAAAATAGAAAAAAAAATTAGATTTAAATGCAAAATATTTTATTGTTTAAATGTGTGATTGTAAAATGTATATAATAATTAAAGAATTTTGAAATAATGGTTGTGCTGACAATTTTGGTGGGCTATTTTCTTTATTTGTTTTTACACACTATCATTGTAAATGACGTGCAAGAACGTAGCCGGAGTTCGGACTTAACTGGTAGAACATGAAAATTTCGATTTCCATAGCAATTGCGACTTTGTATAAATTTAAGGTCTAGAGGGAGAAAATAGAAAAGTTTTCTTGTCGTGTTTTCTACTTCCAATCAGAACATGTATTTATGAATTCATTTATGTATGAGTTAATTGTCTAAATAATTACTAAACTTATGTCCATGTATTCGACTGCTCATTAAAGTTTCAAATGTTAAATTTTAAAAATTAAACTTATCAAAAAGTAGGAGATTACTCATGGCATGACGTTCGTTTCACCCATCTAACAGAATTGATGACATGACAGATGAAATGCAAATGTGACACTCAAATACCGTTATACAAATTGTCACGTAAGAAAAAGTATTTGATTGCTCACTATATTTTGAAAGATATCTTTGATTGCTCATTATACCTTAAAGTGGTCAAGTTTTGGTCACTAAACTTGTAAAATTGACATCGGACCTGTCTTGAAAATTTAGGAATGTTGTTCCAAGTATCACTTGCGTACAATACATGTGTGATCTATCCATGACCAAGATAAAATTTGGTTGAAACTAAGTGTAGGTCATAATCGATTGTTGTTGAAGGATCAATGGATGAGTTGTTCATAAAATTTAATTTTGCAAGAAACTTTGATCTATATCCGAGCTAGGTTTTTTAAGAAAAAACCAACGATAGGGGCTCGAAACTTCGATTCTAAATAGAGATATTTGTTACGGGCCTGTGTCAGACCCGCCACCTCACCCGCCACGTGTCAACACCCGTGGCCCGAGCCACGTGCCGGACGAGGTGCTTGACCCAAAAACTAAACTGATTGTACATGCCGAGGTGATTGCACTAAGGACGAACTGAAAACGCGTCAGCGAACGAACCGGACTCATCCACAAGTACACAGTGGATGCAAAGGCC